GCCCAGAGAGGTGGTGGATGCCCCATCCCTGGAAACATTCCAGGTCAGGCTGGACGGGGCTCGGAGCAACCTGGTCTAGTTGAAGATGTCCCTGCCCAGGGCAGGGGGGTTGGACTAGGTGACCTTTAGAGGTCCCTTCCAACCCAAACCATTCTGCGAGTCTATGAAACACAAAGATTAAAACCCCTTCCCCTGGCACCGGGGAGCAGCCCCTCCTCCTCCTCCTCAGCTGTTTTGCCCTCTGCCCGTACAGCGGTTTTTACCCATTTTAAATATGTTTTTGCAGAGGTGCCACCGACTTCATTGACAGGCTCAGCTTTAGCTTTCCTCCCCCCCACAGCTCCCCAGCACCAAAACCTCCCCAACCACCCACACGGTGCCGGGTGCTCACCGCCACCCGTGGGCAGGACGGAGGAGAGGGTCCCCTCCAGGTGCAGGGGGTCCCCGTTGCCCGGCCACTGCGCTCCTGGGACGTCCTTGCCGGCCTCTCGCTGCAGGACCTCGTGCTCCCCGTCTGCGCCCTCCTGACCGTGCCGAGGCAGCCGTCTCCTGCCTGCAGGGAAGGACAGAGGCGCCTGGTCCCTGGGCCTGGTGGCAGCGGTGGGGACTCCGCCTCCTGTGGGGACAGTGAAGCCAAACCCCCCCCCCCCCCCAATCCCTGGGGTAGCCCAGCTCACCTGGGACTCCCTCCTCTTCCTTGGAGACCCGCAAGACCTCGAAGCTGATCTCAAGCTCTTCCTCCACCTTCTCCTCTTCCTCAATGGCCCTCAAAAGCTCCCGCTCCTCCTCCACTCTCTTGCCGGGAGCCCTGCGCGTCACCCGCTCCCTCTTCTCCTCCGCAGCCCCAGCTCGGCAGGCGCCCAGCCGTCCTCTCCGGGTCTGGGCACCCCTGCTCTGGCCGCCAAACCCCAGCGAGCTCGCCTGGGACCCGGCGGATTTGGGGGGCAGAGCTTTCCGGGTGCAGAATGTCTTGCGGGTAGCTGTGGGGGTCAGCCCCGCTTTGGGATCCTCCACGTCACTGTCATCGCTGAACGTCACCTAAAGCAGAGGGACAGGAGGGTGTCAGGGCTGGTACCGGGCACGCTGGGCTGCCCCTCGCCTCCCTCCCCACTCACCTTCAGGCGAGACTTGACTCTCCCCGAGACTTTGGGGGCTCGCAGGAGCCGGGACTTGCCGGCCGGCGGGGAGGATTCGCTGAAGATGGTGAAGGGAGTCCTGGGGCCAGGGGCTGCGCGTGCCTTGGCGGGGGGACAGGCTTTCTGGTGCGGGGTGCAGGGCACCGTCACCGGCCGGATGACGATGGGGGGCACCTCATTGTCCGAGTCACCCAGAGCAAAGACGTCGTTGGTGTTCGGCACAGCCAGGGGCTTTGCTCTCTGGCTCTTCTTCACTCTGGGTTTGGGCACGGCGGGGGCCAACGCTGTCTTGTTTTTGCGCCTTTGGGGTTGAGCCTTGGCTGTCTTGAGGGTCAGAGGCGCAGCCACCACTTCAGGCTCCGCCGGAGTCAGCATGGGCAGCTGACAGGTCCAAGAGCCAGCAAAGACGCCGTCAGGGAGTCAATGGAGGCCAGGCGGAAAATGGCGGCCATGGCTTTGGCGAGCAGCAGGCTGGCCCTGGAGACCTCCAGGCTGGGCAGGTGGGGTCTGCAGGACGCTAGGAAAGTCAACCCTGTCTGCAGCTCCTCCGCCAGCCGGGGGCTGGCCAGGTTCTGAAGGGCCAACGTGGCATAGCCAGCGACAACCAGATCGTCCAGCAGCTCCAGCGCAGGCAGGTCCCGGCCGACAGAGCCACCCCACAGCTTGTCTCGCAGCACGGCGGCGAAGCGGGTGGCCACAGCAGCGCAGCGCGGCAGCATGGCATGGATCAGATCCAGCCCCTCGGCCACGCAGCCCGCTGCCAGCTCGCCCTGGGCGCAGGAGAGGAGCCAGCGCAGGCAGAGAGCCGAGAGGGCCAGGTCGGAGCAGAGGCAGCACGGGCAGGCTGCCGGGTGGGTGAGGAAGGCCAGTCTCTTCCTCCTCTTGGGCTTCAGCTCTGGTGAGGCGGTGAGAGCATCCGCCTTCTCCAGCCCACTCACTGTGGCCACAAACTCCAGCGCAGGGCCCTTCAGGAAACCCTCCTCTTCCCTGGGGGGCTCAGAGACGGAGTCCTGTGGCTTCTTGCCCTCACGTTTGCCCTTCCTGGGCAGGATCTTTGTTTGGCCTTTCTGCTTCTCGCTGGCTCTAAACTCTGCGGGCGGAGGGGAGGGTTATTTCGGCATCATCCCTGCACAGCCCTCCCCCAGCTCCCGCTGCAGCCAGCCTGAGGGGTGCGGGAAGCCGAACCCAACGCTTCTGCTTTCCCCAGCTACGCCTTTATCGGCTGGAGGAATCACTCGATGAGCCAAAACATGGCTCAGAGTCACCCTCCACCTCTGCACCCTCCTGAGTGACGGGGATCGGCTCCTCCAGCAGCATCTGCGCAAGGCAGATCTTTCACCCCAGCGCAAAAGCGGGCGCAAGAGGGGTCGTCCCTGGCACTGCCCGGGCTTGGGGCTCACCTCGGCGCCCCCCCATTCCCCTCCTCCGAGCCCGGAGCGGGGACTCACCGGTGTCAGACTCCAGGAGGAAGAGAGCCTGCTGCAGGTCGAAGTGGCTCAGCTCCAGCTCGCTCTGCTGCAGCTCCAGCTGGGCCTTCAGCACCAGGAAGGAAGTACACCTGGGGGGTGGGGGGAACCAGCCCTCAGAGCCCCCCCACAACAGCCGCCGCTCCATCCCCAGGGCCGGGAGGGAGGGAGGGAGGCGGGCAGCGAGGAACAAGCTCACGTCTGACCTGCCAAGCTGAATTCGTGGGATAGCACGCCCCAGAGCTTGCTCCAGACCGAGCTGAGAAGGTGCCAAACCCTCCCACCAGGGCCAGTCCCCCGCCAAGGGACACAGGCACCAATGTCCCCCGCGGCCGCAGGGCAGCTCATCCCTAACCAAGCATCCCCCCCAAGCTCAGGACCAGGCTGTGCCCCCCTCCACGCTCAACTCACCACCGGATGGCTTGCAGTTTCATGGTCAGCTTGACGGCCTCCAAGCAGAAGGCTTTGGCGTTACACACCACCTTCAACCTGCTGAGGAGAGCCACGAGCTGCTCCGAGCAGGCCAGCATGTCGGCCAGCACTTGCCACTTCAGCAGCAGGTTGTCCCCTGCGAGGGAGGACAGGAGGGTCACCCGAGCTGCTGCTCCCGGAGGGGCAGGCAAGGAGCCTGACTCTTTCCAGAGGAGCACTTGGATTTCGGTCCGCGCGAGCAACCGGCTCACCGTAATCCACAAACTGGACGTCAGACGCTGTTGTCTGACAGCCCAGCACGTCGCTGCCCATCAGCAGGAGGATGATGCTGCGGAAGAGCTTGTAGGCTTCGGTGAGAGCCGTCTCAGGCGTCTTCCACCCTGTACGAGGGCAGTTCGTGGGTATCAGCACAAACCAAGACCCTCCCCAGCCCCAGCACAGAGCAACTCACCCAAATTCCCTCTCCTCGCCCCAAACGGGCTGGTTTGGAGAGACCCAGAGGTGAAACGTTTGCACGTTGCTTCGCCCACAACCCCTGTCAGCCTGGTGCTCACCAGGAGGGTTTTAAACATCCCCCGGCAACTCACCTTGCACAAAGATGCACTGCCGGAGCTCCAGCGAGAGGCAGGCAGGGGGGAGGCTTAGGTAGACGGTCACCAGCTGAAGGACGTGGGCTCGCAGCAGGTACCAGACTTTGGTGATTCTTTGCAGAGCTGGGTTCTGGAGCACCCCCAGCAACAGGGTGAGACCCTCTTCAATCTGCAGAGGGAGAAAGAGTCACCATTCGTGGTCCAGGGTGTCTCCATGCCCAAGGTCCCTAGCGAGAGGTATTGAGATAGCCAGACAGAGCTGCTGCAGTCTCCCCTTGCCCTCTGACGCTACTTCTGAGGCAGAAAAGGGGTTTAGGAGCCCTACCCGGCGGTTGACGCAGCACAGCTGGCTGCGGAGCAGGAGGCAGGTTTGCTGCAGCAGCAGGTAGGAATCGTCGCTGCTGTCGGCTTTCTGCAGGCAGGACTCCGTCTCCTCCAGGAAAAGCTGGAAACCAGCAGGCCGGCGTGAGGGCTGCAGCCTCGGGGATCGGCCCAGCTCGCCCCGCGGCCCCTTCCCTCCCTGCCAGACTTACCTGGGCATAGCTGGGGCACTCCAGCTGCAAGAGCAGCTTGGTGACCTGGCACAGGGCGCCGGCCATGCCCAGGCTGTCCCCGAGTGCGCTGCACAGGGCTCTGACCAGGAGGTAGCTCTCCATGGCTTGCAAGGGCTGGGGGCAGGAAAAACCCCACCGTTACACTCAAGAGACCACCTCAGAGGGACTCTGTGGGCCTGGGGAAGCTGCCGTCCCGCCAGCCACCTCCCCGCCAGCGTTACCTTGGCCATCAGCTTGTACAGAGCTGCCAGGAGCTGCAGGGAGGCTACAGTCTGCTCGGGGCTGCGCATGGCCAGGACGCCCGGCGTCACCAGGAGCTGCTTCCACAGGGCGAAGGCATCATCCAGGCTTTTGGACAGAGCTGAGGGCACACCACGGGTCTGAGACACCCTGACCTGAAACCAGGCGCTCCCGGAGAGCCTCTTTGCAAAGGGCCCAAACCCGCCAGCGTCCTCACCGGTCTCTGTCGCCAGGTTGAAGGAGATGCCGTCGTACAGGAACCTGTCCTCCAGCAGCCTGCCTTCGTAGTTGAGGTCGTTGGGCTCAAAGTCGTCCAGGTTCTTCAGCCCCTGAGCTTTGGCTCTCTGGACCCTCTCTATGCTCTGCAGACGGGGAGAAGGCAGCGGCGACGCACGTTAAGAGACACCGCGGGGTTTCCAGCGGGGTCTGGGTGGCTTTTGGTCACCCCAGTGCAGAGCTGAGCCTTGCCAGCAAGGCTGAGGAGGGCACCCGACGCATACATGGAGCCCCGTGGCATTTCCACACCGGGACCTGTTTTGGCATCCCACAGCTCCCCTCCGCCGCCACCCCCACCCACCTTCTCCAGCTTGGACTCTAGGGTGCAGATGTAGAGCCAGAGCAGAGCCTGCGCCTGGTCATCGAGGAGCCGGTCCCGGTTCTGGGCGCTCCTGGGCACCAACTCCAGCAGCCGCAAGGCTTCCTGGACCGAGTCCAGGGAGGAGCTGCCGGAGACAGGGATTAGAAACAGCCTTCTGCCCTCAAAACCCCTGGAGCATCTTAAGGGGAGGGACAGACACACCACACAGGACCCCAAACAGAGCAAACAGACAGAGCAATAAC